CATATAGTTGTTTTGCATATTACAATATATGGTATCTTCAGGAGAATTCATGGTATTATATGCTTATCATTTTTATACACGCTGACTAGAATAGTCCAGATATACTTATTTATGGTACGTAATGATACTGTGAATCATCCTTTTATTGTTTACGATTATGCGGGCTGCGAAAAGCCTTTTCTCGTGACTCAAGGCTCGCCTACGCAAACTAACAACATCTTTTGGTTGGGGAAAGTTTCCCCTATCCAATGATGCTGGTAATTTACATTCGATTGGTTAGAAAAGATTAATCAACGGTTTGTTTATAAAAGTTGGTAGAACTTTTTCAATTTTTGGTCTACAATATATTGAATTGGTTCCACTTTTTGATAGATCGAAATTCTAGTAACGCCCTCCACTTAGTGTGAAAAACGCAGTGAAGGATATATTTATTTATACAAACAGGCCGCCATTACCGAGCATGGAAAGCTGGATAGTTCTGTGTTCAACCTTTCTTGCCAAAAAACAACTCAAACCAAAATTAACCTTTGCGTGCTTAACGTCTAAATATACATAGATTTCCAAATTCAATTAGCTTTAGAGACATAATATCACAATCTTTTTCTGCACAACAAGTTGCATTTAGTCGGGAATCTATTAAAGTTTTGGAATCTGTCTGGAAAAAATAAGATAAATACATGGTTCCCAAGTTCTTCCGGTTTCCGTTGGGGCTACTGTTATGTAATATTTACGCAAATGTTGAACATCATATTTTCTTATCAAATGATGTAATTGGACCAATGGCAGCTATACCGATGGTCCATTAGGCATCCCTGAAAAGATCCGGTGCCCCCGGGGAGTGGCCAATTTTCAACAAGAACCAAGGGGTGAAACAGCTCGACTCTGACCCGCTTTTTTGCAGCGAGTAACTCAATGTACCTCGAAATTCATCAATTTTTTTCTCTCTGCCCACTCCGTTTACTCTCTTTGAAAAGATTTATCTCGTATTAAACGTCAGTTTTGTTTGTAAACATAGTAAGATTGTTCAGATTTGCTATTCAAACGATGTGTATTCCAATACCACTTGGATCAACAGGAATTTGTCCGGAAAACGGCTCGAACTATGCTAAGAAGAATTTCAAAGGGGACCACCGTCACCAGCTTCTGTAACTGTTTTGGAAGTGATTTTTGTGCGTACTCTTCCGTCTCGAAAAGTTGGATGTGAATTAACTGAATGTAGGTGGACACAGGCTATTTGTTCTCATAAAATAACCAGAGAAATCGTTTTCAGATGTCCACCGAGGAGAACGTGAAATCACCGGTATCCAACTTTCCATGCTCGGTAATGGCAGCCTGTTTGTATGAATAAATGTATCCTTTACTGTGCTTTTTGAAACTATATGGAGGTTCAAATTTTAACCCCTCCCTTTCCCTCTCTCAGAAACAGAAGAAAATGGAACAACATAAACACTTCGAAATTTTTACAGAAATCTGTAAAATTATACCGAAATCTCAACAGCTGAACGTTCAGTTAACAGTTTCGCAGATTTCCTGTAATTTTTCACAAATATCTGTGAATTTTTCACAGATGTCTGTAAATAATTACAGGAAAACTGTAAAATTGTTTACCGAACGTTCAGCTGTTGAGATTTCGGTAAAATTTTACAGAAATCTGTAAAATAATCTTAGCGTATACGCCCTCCAGTTAGTGTCAAAAAGCAAACAGGCCGCCATTACCAAATATGGAAAGCTGGATAGAAGAGGCCAGAGTATCCAGTCAGCTGCCACCGCCGAAGCTGGTGAGTAAGATCCTCGATCGTCGTCCGGACTTCAATTCCAGCATTGATCTACTGGACGAAATTTAATCCTGCATATGGGTCAGAAAGAGTGGAAGGAAATGGGCCGATAGTAAATCTAATCTGACCAAGTACAGGATCATCGCTATCGACTTCGCCGACGAGAAACCGAAGAAAAGTGAGAAAGCAAATGACAGTGATCTTGCCCACTGAGCAATGTGAGTTACTCGAGGTGCCTAAACAGCAAGTCTGAAATTGCTCTTGATTAAGAGCTGTCTTGCCCCTTGACAAGAACCAAAAATCGTCGTGCGTCATATCAATCTTCAAGATTTTACAAAACATGATTCGAAAATTTCAAAATTCGGAAATTGCCTTATTGCGAGACCACAGTCACATTGACCATTCTGGAAATGTTCTGGTACCCTATAGAAAGTGGCCAATTCTCAACAAGAATTAAAACCCGTCGTGCGACACATACAACTTCATGATTTTACAAAACTCGGCCGGTAATGGCCTTATTGACAGTCCACGGTCACACTAGCTATGCCTAGCATGTCCTGGTGCCTCCGAGGAAATGACCCATTCCCGACAAGAATATCAAACTTCATGAGTTTGTAGAACTCGGCCGGTAATGGCCCTATTGAAAGTGTACATTTTTCGACAACCACTAACCTAATTGGAAACATTTCTTGTTGGGTCAGGCTTTAAGAAATTTACATCGAATTCTCGCAACTTTAAAAGCGGCAAGATGACGAAAATTATATGTTCTCAAATCACTCTTATTAGTCCGCAAAGGTAATCAAAAATTAATAAAATAATTTTTAAAAGAATTGGCACGTAAAATTTGCGTGAATCACACTTTACTTGGTCATGATCTAGAAGACTATATTTATTTAATGTTTTGCGGGGTGACATAAGTCAAGTATAATCGTAAACGAACAACAAGAGCTGTCAAATTAGCATCAGAGCTTCAATAAAGCACAGCACGCAAAAGCATTTCGCCGTCTTCTTTTCTCCTTTCGCCATGAGAATGAAAGAGATACGAACGAATGAAGACCAAAACAGACCCGTCATAACTGTCATTATTTGCGAGTGAGGAAAGGAGATGGGAAGATTTAGGTTAGGTTTCGCGTAGTGATCTATAGTAAGTTTGACTTCATGCGATTTATTTGCAGATTGACGATGTTTCAGTCCTGTGTGTTAAATGTGTTCAGTTGCCATTTTATATTAATTTATATGGATATGGTTCTTGTTTCCTCGGGGGCATTGAAACATTTTTAGGGGCACTGGAACACGCCCCGGAAAGCGTGGTCGGGAATTTTTCCGGGATGTCCAATGTGATTATGGATCATCGGTATAGCCTGGAATGGTCCAATTATAAAATTTGAGTGAGGAAATATTATGTTCACCGACTGTATGATTATTACAGGACAGTAAAGCCGAATGCCGACCCAGAGTGACCCCAACGGAAACCGGAATAATTCCGTTCTGGCGAATATATTTCTGAAAAAGATTGAGATATGTTGTTTTTAGAGATAATTGAATGATGAAATATATGCAAATTTAGACGTTAGGCACGCAAAGGTTAATTTTTTAGGATCCAACTAGGAAATTTCACCGAGGATAGCATTTTTTGCATGCTTCCTAATGAAACAAATTTACAAAATATAGAAGAGGGTATTTTTTATTTGTTATTTAAAATGGGTAACGGCAAATTGTCAATGTTTGCAAAATCATTCCTCTGTAGTCATTCCTCTAAGTGTAAAGTATTAAGTTTCAAATGGTCCCAATAGATTTGAAATTCGTCAATGAATGGCTCAGCTATGATTTTTCAAACATTGCAAGTTGGCCGTTACACATTTTCCCGGAGGCATTGGGTAGAGCGCTACTTCGTCGTTATCGACCATTTCCGTTCTGTCGATCATAAAAGATCAATAATATCAATTATTTCACCGTGCACAAATCAACAAAAGGTTTGTTCCGATGCGTTAGTTCGTTAGCTACGACATAAATCTTATTAGAGCGCATTGTATGAATATTCACGCTCATGGTTTACAAAACAAAAGAAGCGTTCCTAGCGAATCCCCTTTTTCTACGTTTATCCGTAGGACGAAGCTTCCTAATGGCCTTTCAATGTGTTAGGACGGAATTGAAACTCGTAGAATGAATTTAGAATCAAGAAGCAGTATTAGATTTTAAACAATATCTCAACAATTTGCGACTCTTTATCAAAACCCTACTCTACTTAGAAAGTGTATATGGCAAAAAAAATACAAGAAGTTTAGCTCATTCGAAAACTATTCAAAATTGACGGTTAATTATGTATAGAAATGCTATTACACATCAATTTGGGTTCAATGATTTTATCGAGTAGAGCGTTCTCCTCTCTAGAACTGACCGTTCATCACATCATGAAAAACAAAATATTTACAACTCGCACACAAATCTCGCTACCAGCAGTCAGCATAATAGTAAAATGGAGAAACAGCTGGAAACATCCTTCGGCCTGACTTGCACCACTTCAAGCAAGGCATAATTTTATAGATTGTCACATTAATAATTCCTACTTTACAACCTACTGCACTACTGAAATGCTCCGACTACTCCCTTATTCCAGACGTGCTCCACTTTTGGCCGCGAACAATACCAACCCCACCTGGAGAAAACCCATAAAATAAAGCAGCACGGCTCTAGGGTCGTTCAGAACACACTTTTACGACCATTCCAGACGCGGCTGCTCGGTGCTCCTTTTTAGGTCCTCCCGTTTAGGGGTTAGCAGGAGAGTGTTGTGCGACTCGTACGATTATGTCACACTCTTCACTAACAACGATTCAATTTGGAACACTCCCCCCCCCCCCTCCACCCAACCCTCGCACACAATCACTTTTCTAAGAACACTAAAATCGGAAAGTGCGACTAACGAATGACGACAGAAATAAAAGCAAAAGAAAGAACCGGCCGGGACAATAAAGTGACGAATAAAATGGTGCTCCGGATGTTCTCCAGACAAGCGAAAACCGCCCTGCTATGGCGTGGGACCAATTATGCAAGTAACGGTTATCTTCACTGTTCTAGGGGTGTTGGTGAGAGATCATGAGAACTATTGTTTGGTGGTGATAGAAGGAAGAACTGAAAACAGAATCACATTGGCGGACCCCGAAAGAACCCCATTTCGTCGCCTCATTCACCGAACGGCCGCCCCCAGAAAACATGGAGTGTAATTACCGAATTGATTTGGCACAGGTGGCTTGCGGACGACCTCGGGACCCCCGGTGTACTCGTGCCATCGATAGGTGCTTCTGTATTCCGAGTGGAGCTGAAACGAGTACAAAAAGGAAGAAATATTATGTAATAACCATTTCGCACGGGAGTCCTGCTTGTGGGAAGGAACCGGACTGCATTAAAATGGATTTAATATGGAAATGGGAGCTTGGGTTGGTTTCTGTTTTCTGCTTTTTTTTTGAAATCCGTTGCCGTAGCACATTAAATGGAGTGTGCTGTCTGCTCGATGGAAATAAGTGCTTGGGCCCCCAGCCTCAAGAGGGCAGGGAAGGATTTTCTCCATGGAGCCAAGAAAGCCAAACAGTTGGTTGGAAATCGTTATCCAAAGCGAAGGCGCTACAAAAGGGATAGCGGAATAAAAATAGATTGTGCATCGTTTGGAAAACTTCTCCGCCTCCGCTACCAGAAAGAACTTGGCACAGCCTAGTAAACTGCAATTTGCAGTGAAAACTTTTTTGTAACTATCATCTTGGAATGTTCAGAGGGAAAATAACGTTTCAATGTTGCGTTTTTCGTTTTTGCTCATTATTGGCATAAAAAAGCGGAACGAGAGCGATGCATAAAATAATTCTGCTATAATCGTTTGAAGAGCATAGCATAGCATAGCATAAACAAGGTTGCACAATGTCATAGGTGGGACGAGCTCCAAACTGTTGTTAAGAAGGAGACCCACCTTCATCCGTTGCTGATAGATAGCAATTTGTGATTAATTACTACCTCTTAGATAAATGATGCGCCTCCCTCCAACAGACCAGTGCTGTCCTGGCCACGTCCTTGCATCTGGTGGGGAAAGGGGAGGAATGTTAGTCCGACACTTACGGGTCACGGGAAGGGTGGATTTTTATTAGTAGGGAGGGTAAGCCATAGGATACGCCCAGCCGGCGTTGCTGGCAATCGTCATATCAAGCATTTAATAAACAGAAGCTGTAAGTAGTTGCTGCCCATTACCTAAACATATTATTCAAAACAGTCTTCCGATTCTGGAATTAAGAAACGTTGCTCCTTTGCGCCTGAAAATGTTTGTTGATCCTAAACATATGCACAATTCATTCTGATCGATAGGAGGTTCTCATGTGTAAAAGGTTATTAATAGTATGTGGAATCGTAGATTAAAATGAAGATTCGCCCTTGGCCAAACTCCCACTGTCTGGCAGTGGCATTATGGATAACTTCTGCCTGCAATCATTTCAGGGGAAACATGTCAGAAGGGTCTAACTCGAAACGTAAACAATGACTTGGATCGTCAGTTTCTTACCCACTCAAACTAACAAACCTCTCCGACAGAGAAATTTTTGTTCTATGAGCTAGTGTAATCAGATTCCGTGGGTGTGTGGTCATTCACGAGAAATCGACGTTCAAAGTCATTGCTTACGTTTCGAGTTATACCCTTCTGACATGTTTCCCCTGATTTGTTATGAATGCAAGAATCTTGAATTAGAAGGTGACAGCTCTACCGCAGCTACAATAGCCTATTTCAAGAACGCAAGCATTTCGAAGCTATTATCACACATGATAAGCCCCGCTCCAATACATTATCGATGTAAATATACACCATTGATATTGTACTGAAACTTTCAATCAAGCAGTAGTGCAATACTTGAGTGACGCGTATTTAGTAAGTTTTGAAATGATTGTCTTGAATTAGATGGATATTTCCAATCGAGGACAGAGGAACGAAAAGGTAAATAAACTTAGCTGAGCGTAACTACGCGTAGTTTAGAACAGGCGGCACCACATGCAACAGATAAGAATTTGAAAATTTACACTTAAAGGGGGAAGTACACTTTGATTTTTCAAAAAAATGCATTTTTTTTTGGCTTAAAATGTTCCTTGGGATGTATACTTTAATTTAGAAAAGACTCCAAGTCCGCCAGAATATTCCTTACCGCTTTACGAAGCAATTTCCTAAAATATGTATCGACGTGCTGAGAGAGCAATTTTATCTTTAAACGCGTTTATCTCGAAACGGGGGTTTTCAAACTGGCGTGGGAAATAACTCTAACCAGTTATCATCAAATTTGGATATCGCTTTCTTGTTTCTTGTTCAGAATTAAATTCTGCTTAAAAATGCGTATGCACATTTTCGATTTTGTCAAAAATAAATTTTTAATCAACGATTTTGTAAGCATTTAGGGTGAAAAAATGGACTTTTTTTTTCCTAAGACCACAACTTTTTGAAAAAATTAATTTAAAAAAAATCGGAATACGTATTTCTAACTCAAATTTCATTAATAATCAGGATTTTTGTTCGATTTATGTTCCAGGATCACATGGAAAGGAGTATTTTCCCACGCCGTTTATATACAAATTACATACAAATACAAATACAAATTGTAGTTCGAAGGATGACTAATAAATGGGTTATAACATATTTGCCCTCCCTGAGTGTTTTATTGCTTAAAAAAATTAACGAAAATACCTTACTTTTTGGACGTTCAAAGTGTACTACCCCCTTAATGCACTTTTCAACATCACTTATGTACTTTCAAATTAACACTTTTAAAAAATGAAATTGTAAATTTATAACATTTTCACTAGAACGAAAACGACGCAGCAAAACAAAAACACGTCATTTTTTGCAGCGCAGCCTACTTCCATAGAGGTAACTCTAAAGCTGGGTTTAGACAGGGCAAGTCAGTTGAATTCAACTGACTTGCACGTGAATTGAACGTGTAAACCATGCCATTCTACTGACTTGATCAACTCACTTGAATTGAAAAAAGTTGAACCAGCCTCAACTTTTCAAGCCAATTGAATTCAACTGAGTAGATCAATTGACTTGCCCTGTTTAAGCCCACCTTAAGGCTAGTAGGTCCCGAAGAAACGTGCTCAACTTTTCGGCTCAGCTCTGGTACTCTCTTCGGTCCCAAGCTAATCGATGCACCCCTCGCACCATAGGAAAATCCAAGAACCCCTCATTTTATCTGTCAAACTTTCATAGCGAATCAAAACAAACATAGTGTAGTACTAGAATTTCGACTAGAATGGGGTACGTTAAGCGTTAAGCTTCAATTGGGTTGTTTAGGGGTATTCATCAATTTTGGTACACTGGAACTATTTTCATTAAGTACGATTACATTAGCAAAAAATTACTATCTTAGTGCCCCTTGGTAGGACTTTGTATGGGAGTGAGCTTTCAACGAATGGATTTAGTGTCAACGATCAAAAATGTAAATCTTGATTTGAAAATCGACCTACGGGACCGATAAAAATATCGTTGTGCTCAAAAAACGAAGCTCAATCAGATGATGTACAAAAATCGGTATATTTTTCGAAGTTAAACAACCCAATTGATGGTTCTGAAAATGTGAAACTAATGGTGGAAATGGTGTAGGAAATGGTGTAGGAAATGGTGGAGAGATTTTTTCCTCAAGATTGTTTAGTGAGATTTAAAGAAGTATTTGAGAGCTCGCGCCTGGTGTCTTGAAAATTTTCATTCTTCCAAAAGCAACAAAATCGTGGTATTGCGTCAACTCTCTGACGTTTGATTTATTTCACCATTTTCAGGAATTTTGAAGCTAAGTGTCTTTGTTGAGTGTATTTGTGTGTCTTAACATAAATCCGTCTATTTTTCCTAATGGTGTTCGTCTAAGGTATGCGAATTTCCTCAATTTTGACCGCCCTTCCCTCTGTATTTTTCAGTTTTCGTTTAGTTTCAAAACACTACCTAAGGCCATCTCCAATCCGGATGGATGACCTGATCCATTCCCTGTCCAAACATTTCAGATTCAAAAATTTAGATCCACTAATTTTTTATCAAAATGGTGACCGCTAATCCATAAAGAATAAATCCATGAGAAAAAAAACTAGAGATGCCATTCCGGTCAGGCATGGAAAATCATTTACATTCATTTCATGCATTCATTTACATTCATTTGCCTCTAACTTTTTTCATCAACAGCATTCCGCAAAATGATGTATAGAGCTTTAAGAAGGTTTTGTTATTAGCTACAACTTTTGCCCATAACTCAAATCTGTATCTCTTATGCATCACGAATTAGAGCGGGCAGAACTTGTTACTGTTTTTCAGTGAATGTAAAATACATTCATTGAAAAATAGAAGTGGGTTCTGTTCGCTCTGGTTCATCATGCATAAGAGATACGTATTTGAATTGTTAACAAAAGTTGTAGCTAATAGCATAACCTACAAAAGCTCTATACATTATTTTGCGGTATTTGGAGGCGAACCAGCCTAAGGCTGAAAGCCTCCTAAATAAAGCTAAATTAATTAATTATTTTGCTGTATTCTGTTGATAAAAAAGTTAGGGGCAAATGAATGTAAATGAATGCACGAAATGAATGCAAATGATATCCCATGCCTAATCCCGGTCTTCAGAACCAATACAAAATAAATGGGAATCAAATTAAAAACTTCAAGGGGCGACTCTACGGAGTTTTACGCAATGGTGACGTAGGACTACGTGGTCTTATATAATAAATGTTATTTGTTAACTGCAGCAGGAGCTTGTGTTTTGTGTAGGAATAGGAATTTTAACGGGGTTCTCTCTGTTTATACTCTTAAGTATGACGCGCTTGGCATAGATGGCCCACAGCGACTCACGAAGAGCTACTGATTCCGATCAATAGCGGTGCGGCTTCTTTCTCCTTCTATGGATGCTCATGTGGGCTGCAGCTCGTTGTGTACTGGAGAACAATGTTCAACGCCACGTGATTGGAGCTGAATCCGATCAGCGGTTGAGGGCAGCCTTGCTAGCTAGCTGCTTGCCTTTCGACGTGTACTGGAGAACACCACCACTCACCACGCGGTGATTGAATAAACACCGTTTGGTGAGACCGGATGGAATTCAACTTTGAAATCTATATTAGCGAAATCGCTTTTCGCAAGCATTCGGTGATAATTTTAACAATCATAGCAACAGTTGCACATTCGTGTAGTTTTAAATAGCGACATTTTGAAAAATGATAAAGTCTAAATTTTAACAGATGCGTAGAAATATTTCTGATACCCTGCGCTTCGTTCAGAGAGCGTATAGGGCGTCGTTGTGCCAATTTGGTCTTAGTTAAATGTTTCTT